TGCTGGATGGGCACGCAGCACGCAGTCGTGTGTAGGCTAAGCATATGCGATACCGCTCACGCATTGCCGCGATGCCTGCTGTTTGGCCCCCGACGTTCATCGCACCATGATGCGCGCGCATCGCAGGCAGCAGCAGCGACGAACCTTCCGCTCAAATGCGGGGCCGCGGGCGCCTGATATTACATAGGCGGCCTGCCTGTCGCGGTCCGCGTGACGCGTCGTCTGCGCGCCCAGCGGCGCCCACGCGCTTTTGGATGAGCCGGAGGTTTGTCCGCGACTCCGCGTAAGGGTTCCGCAGCAGCATGTGCTCTCCTTGATCGTGGCTAGACTCACGATCGTGATTGTGTTTGAGCCGAAAAGATAGATTGATTGGGCGCGAGTGTCAGAGGTCAGACTTCGCGAATGGAAGGCCTCGCGACGCGCGGCTCCTCAATCCTCGACCTGGCCCTGTGATCACTGCACGCAGGTAGTGAATGGGTCTCGATGACCAGAATGCTTCGGAGGAGAGTTCAGGTGAATCTGGAATGATACCTGTCGGGCGCTCCCAATCATCACTACACCCGCGGGCGACTGTCAGGGTTGAAGCGGGGGCCGGAATGCGCCTCACTCGGGAAGCGCGCCTGACAGCAAAACCTTCGAGACCTCGATCTATCTGCTAGTCTCAGTTGACGAGTGCAGGATTGCGAGCCGGTCCAAACTCGTGGTATATAAGTGAAAAGCGAATCGAGCGGCCGCAGCCCGACTGGTAGCTGGAGTGGACACGCAGTTGTTCTGCAGCAAAGTACGAGGCGCCCTGTGCCTTCAAGCTTCACTGATGCCGATGCGGTCCCCAACGCGCACCATCGTCTCGAGCTGCGCACAGCGAAGCGCAGCAAGGTCAGTACACAGGCAGCGAGTGTGAAAGGATGCTGCAAAACTCACAGCATTTTGCGAATTGTGAACCAAATCTTGATCGAACTTGATTTTGGCTTCGGGAGGGAAAATGGCTACGATGGTACTTCCGCCATACGCGAACCAACCAGCCTCTTCTCCTCGAGTCACGGCAGAGCCTTGAGTGGCGGCGCTCCAGCCGATCGAGCCGACGAGAAGGGCACCGATCGCGACAAAGGCTACAGTGTAGCTCTGTGCACCGCTAGGCTTCCAATCGAGTAGCAACACATCCCTCCTGTTGGCGGTGAACACATCAAAGTTCTGATTGACCGCTTGAGGATTGACGGTGTAGTACTCGCCTTTTTCGTGTCTGATAGGGCCGACCGTAGCTGGACCAACTGGATGATGATACCTGTGGTAGTCTGCCGGTGCCAAGCGGAAAATCGCCAAGGCGCTGCCTGGAGGGAAGCAGCGGTCTGCCAGATTCGCATCGCCCACGAGGTGGGCCAGAGAGAATCTTTTGCCCTTGATCCACACCTTTGTGGCACTCTCAACATTGTCAAACACTGCGATGCGACAGTCAGCTGCGCTCGAAATGATGCGGCTGTTGTCAGCATCCGCGATGGGTCTCGCATCCGATTTGAGCTTGCGATAGAAGAAGTCGTTCATTGTGCGGTATTTAGTCGGGTCGGGCTCGGCCAGCTCGGAAAGGTTGATGCTGTAGGTCTCGATGAAGTTCTTGACGTGCTGGAGCACAGCTTCGGGATCCGAGGCGTCATCGTAGATACGTCCTTGCCTGGCTGACATGCTCTCCAAGACGTCCTCGACAGAGTTGTAGCGGAGCAGGCTCGTCGCCTTTGATCCGAAGAAGAGGAGGTGCATGCCCAGGCGCACAGCTATCGGCATCGACTCAAAGATCTTTTCATTCGTGCCTCTGATGGCGATCCAATTGCCCAGATGATGCTCAGCAAAGAGATCGTCTAGCCTGCTCTGAGCCAAGCCTTCGACAGATGCCAGCTTGCTCCACCAGCTCTTGTGCTCATTTTTCGAAGTCGGCGCTGGTGTGTAAGGGCCATTATGAGCGCTGCTCCCGAGCTTATCAGAGCTGGAGTGCTGTGCGGTGTTGGAGACGAGTCCTTCGAGAGCAGATACCAGCGATTCCTGCTCTCCTTCGATCGGGGCGTGCATTCCACCTTGCGTTTCGTGACCCATCTCTGCGAGCTAAGGATGGGATATGGGATGCGCTTTTGAAAGGTGTGCGATTTGACGATAGCTCCTGCGCGATAGGCGTGGATTTTGGCACAGCAAGAGGCATGGAAATGGTGGTGCGCTTGCGGGCTTGATGCATCAGGAAGGAAAGGAGCAAGACGCACCGGCGCCACGGTAGAAGTATAAGTGACGCTCGCAACTGATTCACATTGACCATTTGCATCAGCTGCAAATATGCGCTCCCGTTTGACCTTTCAGCAGCGCTCGCATCATGGTTGCTGGGCGAGTGCGTGTGGAGGCGCGCAGATATGCATACCGTACAGGGGCGCTACCGCGCGTTGCCGTGTTTCGCCGCGGCTCGATGCATGGAACTCCGATGCTCGCGATATCGATCACTCGCGGTGATGGCGGGCCGATATGCAGTCGCAGCCATCCGTGATTCTTGATCCAGATTGTGATTCATGATTGTTATGATTCAGTCCAGCTGTGCAGTGGCTGGCCAGAGCATATCACAACAAGTCACAGCTAGTGAAGCGTCCTTGATGCTGGCGATCACCTCAATGGTCCGATCCAGGCGTTGCACGCTCGAGACGTGACCGTCCGTCCGGCTTCTACGAGCAGCCGTGACCTCAGAGAGCGCGATGCAATGACTAGTCTCGGAGGCATCCACTCTCTTGATCCGTGACTGAAGCACGATGAGCGACACGATGGATCGATCGTGATCACGAGTCTTATTGAGTCATGATACGGAATCAACTCTTACAGACCGTGCGCGTCAGACACTCAACGCCGGCACGGGTGCAGCAGATCCAGCATATACACACACAGTCGTGAATCATATATACCCACTCCGACTCGCTGACACAAATTTGAATATGTCGCTGCGGCGAAACAGAATTGCGTGCGGGTGCAGAATCCTCATCAGTTCCAGATGCGCTCGACTGCCGCGCGCGGGGGTGACGCCATCGATTATCAATCATTGCTCTCCAGAAACGTCCCCGCTTCGAATTTGAATCAGAAAGGCGTATATATATACATATATTGATTCATTCGATCCTCGTTCAGATGGCTCGCGAGCAGTCAATTGAAGCCTAGCTGCTGTACGAGCATGATGCAACCACGTGAGTAATTCGTGTGTAGAGTCACGAATAGATACGCAGAGGCGAAATCTGCATGGGCCTTAAGCAGTCTGAGTCCGCATACTCTTGACTCAGCCTTTGCGTGATGCTGATGGCTGATGCCAAAGTTTCATTCATCTTGGACGGGCACGACTCAGTGACTCGCGGATGTCAGGAAGGTCATTCGTGACCAGCTGCGACTGCTGTTGTAGTCGCAAGTCAATCCACCTGGGCTCACGTCGCTCTGTGCCAGCATCCACTTGGACGACCAGTTCGGCCCAGTAGCTTGATCGCAAATCCACCACCTCCAGCTGTAAAGACGTTCAAGAGCATTTTTGCACCTCACAAGAGCCAGCCATGCCTCGCCACGAGAGCAACAGCTCCCTCGGGAGTTCCGGACCCTCGCAAGAGGGCTTTTCGTTGAATTTTGGGTGAGCATATGGCAATAGCCAGGACGGGGTATTTCAAGCCTTGCTGTAGTAGCGAGGTACCGACATCAGCGACGCCAGCACGAGCTCTCCATTCAGCGCACACCTGACCACTGACGTCGAGCACGGACCACACATCATCACCCCCTCCTTCGCTGCATGTGCCCACCTTCGCTTGCGTCCTCGCACCAGCGCTGATACTCAGGACATGGAAAATCGCAGGCAGATGATCCTCGATGGATTCATGCAAGCATACGCCGTCAAGTCAGCCAAAGAAGCGGAGGCATGCAAGCGCCAAATCAGCAAAGTGTTTCGGGAGTGCAACAGTCGCACGGACGCTCTGGAGCGCAAGGCAACAAGCAAGCGGTATGTATGCTAGAAAGGTCGCCTCTTCTTAGCTTTGAATGACGAAGTATGGTGCACTTTGCAGCGATGATGCTCTCGCTGATGTCCAGGCATCTTTGGACGCTACCGAGCAGAATGAAATGGGCGGATATATGCGCTTGTTTGAAGAGGTTCAGCGAGTGAGTAGTTGGTGTTGGCTGTCACCGTGCCCGCGAGATCCGATCTTGATGGCTGCTCATGTTCACAGGAGCTCGAGCACAAGTATCAAGGGATCGCCCACGTCGCCGACGAGCTTGAAGGCGCACAGCAATCGACTGAGCTCCAGGCCGCTCGAAGCATGTGTACGTCTAGCTTGACGTTGCCGGACTTGATGCGCATCGCTCCTCATTCGTCAAATCCTTTTCATCCAGACGAGCAGCGCCCAAAGATGATGGTCCGCTGGCGTCGCGAGCTTGTCCGAGAGCATCGCAACAAGCAGACCTCGCGCTCTGCTCAGCAACAGGTGAGGGCGACACCCTACATGGTGTGCAGCGAACGAGCCTGCACGTGCACCTGTGTCAAAGCAGTCACGCTCACACTTGCTGAAATCTTCTCTCGCCAGGCTGTGATCAACGGAGCTGCTGTTCTAGAGCACTACAAGGCCATCCTTGGCAGCACGGTGTGTATTGACGAGCCGAGATTTCCTCAGCCTTTCGTGTTTCTTACAAATCAAATTGCGCTCGCTGAATTTGGCCTCCGCATCTTCCTGTCACCAGATGGAAGAGTAAGGAGCGCTATTTTCGGCTCGCCCCCCGCACTTCGCACCTGCACAACATCAATCAAGGTTTGCAGCGGCGCAGCAGGTACACGTTCGCTAAAGTAGCCGCGCTTGAATGTTTCTCTCTGTCCGCACTAACGACGAGAGAGTTTGCGTGTCAGGAAAATTGAGCTGCACGTCGACCGTCTTGATGGAGATCCGTGGACGCGAACATCTCAGTCTTGACTGGCATGGCGTGGCATCATCGATCATCGCCGCGAGGAGGGTAGGATTTGTGATCGTGCTCTCTCATTATATCAGTTCGCCCACGCACGAAGCTCAAGCAAGAGCTTGCTCGACACGCTTTCCTTCCACAAGTCTCCCTGCAGCGTGCAGCAGTTTCGGATGCGCTAGCGAGAAGCGGTGCGAGCGGCGCTTGAAACTGGCTCTGATTAGCGCCAATCTTGGCCGGCGAAGCGGCCGTCACCAACCACATCTTCTCTTATCCGCACGTTCTCATGTGCACGCTGCGAGCAACTTAGCGCGCAAGGGCACACAACCAAATGCGACTGAAGAGCAACAAGACCATTGCTTCTTCTCCCCAGATGCCCTGAGCCGGCATCGCTTTCCTAGACAACGAGAGCTAGCGCAGGCTCGCAGCGGAACGAGGCAGGGCCCTGAGTCCAAAGGAGCATCTGCTAGCGCCGAGAAGAACGCCCAGTCGGCATAATAACCTCAAAGCAGCGTTTGGTCAAAGCTTCTCAGTAAGCTAGTCACGAATGCTGCGACATTTGGGCTCGGCTTTGGCCAGGCGCTTTTGCCGGACAACGTCGTTTGTGTGTGTGCCTGTGTGCCTGTGTCATGTTGCTTTGTTCATTGGGTGCGTTCAATGTTGGACTGTGCAGAGAGCAGCGCAAGTATAAAGAGAGACCGATCCTTGAAAACACGAGCATATTCTCGTCCTACAAGCCCCCTCCATCGCATCTCAACTCTGACCATCTCCCTACCTTCTAGCCCTTCCCCCCAATCCTCACCCTCATCCCTCTTCGTCACGATGAAGTTCGCATTCGCTCTCGTCGCTCTGGCCGCTGTCGCCGCCGCTGCTCCTCTCGAGAAGCGCGTCTCGCCCAACTGCGGCGGCAAGTCCTTCTCCAACACCAACGTCAACCAGGCTATCAGCAACGGTGTCAACGACGCTGCTTCTTCGTCCAGCTACCCTCACACGTGAGTAGTGCGCCAGCATCGGAGCGTGGACAGATTGCACGCCACCGTTGCTTGTACTGGACAGCATGATCTGACACATTTGCCATGCTGTCCATCTCGACTCGTTCCCACTTCAGTTACAACAACTACGGTGAGTCTGCAAGGAGAGCGCTCTGGATCGCATTGCAGTCGCCTAATCTCGTCTTCCAAACTCTTCTTTGTCAACGCAGAGGGTTTCGACTTCAGCGGCGAGTGCTCTGACAGAAGCTACCAAGAGTTCCCTCTGTAAGTAGTCGATGCTGTCGAGCTGTGGTCTGCTGTACAGCCAAAAATTCATCACGCCACCTTTGCATTCCGCAGCGTCACCAAGAGCGGCGGCTACACTGGCGGTTCTCCCGGTGCTTACCGTGTCATCTACGGCACCAACACTGGCAACTTCTGCGGAGGTAAGTCTACGCCTCCGACAGTCTTGCTCGAGCGCTGCTAATCGAATCTTCTACCAATTTGTCCGTCTGCAGCCATCTACCACGCTAGCTCTGACAACTCCTTCTCTCAGTGCGACTACTGAATGCCGTCATGGCTTGGTCGTGGATACTTCCTCCTTCGACCTCTCAAAAGAGTCTGCTAGATCAGACTTGGCACCTCATGTAACTCCTCCAACCATGCATTCCTCACCTAATCACATGTCATCTCGAACTTTTCCTTTACGCTTTCGTCTGCTTCGATATGGATGTATTCGCGCGCGAAGTCTGCTTTCCGCCCTTTCGTCACTTTGCAAAGCCTCCCAGTATCCAACCCAAATCTCCGCGTGATCCTCCGCCAGCAGACAACCAGTAAGCGGACAACGCAACGATGACGGCCAGCTCCAAGAGCCCCGTGATGAGGCTTCCAGCTCCCGCAGCAATGAGCGAGGACCAAGCGAGACCGAGCAGAGAGTCCAGCGTCTGTCCGATCAGCCTCTTTGTCCGCCACGCACCGTCGATGGGGTAAGGCGCTTTGAGCGGCTGCAGAGCTGCCTCGCCTCCTGGTGCTAGCCGCGAAGGCGATGGCAATCGCAGGATTGCGGTGACCGGTTTGTGGTCGGAGTGCTAAAGCAACGCGGACAGTGTCAACACCCTGTCTTTATGGACTCATATCATGAAGAGCAGTTGTCAGACTCACAGTGTAGCTCATGATACTCCTGTACAGCTCGGTCTGTACGCCGTGAAGGGAGCTCGCATCGCTCGTCTTCTCGTCCGCTGCGGTACCCAAGCTGAGCCAAAGGATGCGATCAGTCCAGCCAGGAACGCGCTTGCCGCTTAGCTCTTGCGGCTGAGCAGGCTGAGCAGCTGCGCCTTGCGAGCTCTTTTCGTCGGCATCAATGTCACCTTGCGCGGCATTCTTGCCGCGTTTGCTTTTGTCCACTTTGAACTTGTACGTGGGACCAAAGCCAGCAGTGGGAAGGTGAGGCTCCACGAGTCCTTGAAAGACGCGAGACCCACTAGGGTGTCGGTGATCGAGAGAGAGCTGATCGTACGCTGCCAGAGTGCGCCAATCGGCTTGCTGGACTTTGCGCTTGATGTCGCTCTTCTTCAAAGCCTCGCCGTCCGCCTTCAAGTGAGCGGCAGGTTTCGTGTTGAATGCGATGCGATAGTTGAGATCACCGAACACGAAGAGATGAGAAGTGTCGTAGATGCTGTGATCTTGCTGATCGAGCGCTGTGGCCTTTTCGGCGCTCCTCTTTGCGCTGCTCTCCTTCTCCGCTTGATACTGCTTGGAGAGAGCATCAACGTCAGGATTGGCATCTCCCGCTCTTCCACCTCCTTGCGGACCGCTGGGTGAGCTGGAGGGGAGACCTTGGACAGCGTCTGGAGCAAAGACCAGTCGCTGGACGATGTTCCGCCAGTCCGCGTTCCTCTTTGCGACGTTGTGATCGTGAGCGGTAAGATGGGCGCACACAAAGGTGAGCACCTCGTCCGGTGAACCCGGTGTCGCCCCTGCTAGAACCACGCGGACTCCAGTCGCTCCCTTGTTGCCCATGAGACCCAGCAAACCAAAAGCTGCTGTGCTCGTCCTCACTTCCTTTACGCGCTGGGCGATACTGGGGGCATGTGAGCCCGCATCGACTCGTTCGCGCGCATACACGTAGAGAACGATGCTGACAAGCTGAACGCGAGCTACGAGGGCGTAGTTCTCGGGTCCGCCTCCGGGAGGATACTTGCCGTCACTTCGAGTCGTGGCGCTCTGTGGGCGAATAGCACGCCGAATGGCAGTATCGGTAGACGACAGCGCCTGCGTCGCCTTCCCAGCAAAGCCCAAGTCTAATGGCAATAGCTCCTGGAAGCCGACAGCGTAGAAGTCGGGCGCGGGTCTGCCTTCGGATGGATTGCTCGCATTGTACTGCGACGACCTCTCAGACAGCGTCGGTACCAACCATGGTGAGAGGTCTGGTGCGTAGGCTGATGTTCCCTGAAGATTGTAGTTGAAGGTGCCAATTTGCACTCGCAACGCCGAGGACATGGTGGGTGCGGGAGGGAGCTCAAAGACTCGCACTAGACCCTTTCCTCCAGCGAAGGACAAGCCGAGAAGGTTTCGTCGTGTGTGTGTGGGACCGCGGGAAGTGTATGTTTATGAATCTCCTCGGAGATGATGGAAGGCTGAGGTCAAATGGCGAGTCTAGATGGCTGGCTCGCTCGCTGGCGAAGATCTGTTTGCGGGTGCGGATGGGTGCGCTTGCTGCTGTGTGGAGCGGTCACGAGAGCCCGGCTGCGCGCCTTCCCCGCACTCGATTCACGATCGACCTTCCTCGAGCACGCGAGCAGACACAAGCGCGGACTCACGACTTGCGATGCGTCCGTCGCTTTGGCGTTCGCTTGAAAGGTCTGGCCATGTGAGTCACGTGATAGACGCAACACCAGACTTTTGACTCATGACTCACGACTCAAAACTCAAGACTCTTGACGTTGCGCCTTTCTGTTCTCCTGGTGGCGATGAATCTCAGGAAACAATTTGAATGCAAGCAACGGCAAGTTCATGAGCGAGCGCACTTTGAAGCCTTCATGCAATGCTTCTTCTGACGCTGGTGTTGGCAATGAGCATGATAATAATATTCACATTATGATGAAAGACGACGGAGGAATTTGAAATGCAACTCCGTAGGAAATCGTGTGCCCATCATCATCATCATCCAGCCGGAAACACAATTTTGCCATATCGCAGCCTTGCCCACCATCGCCCACGGTACGGTACGCTTCTCAGCCGATTTCTGCGTCCAAGGCAGCCTGAAAAGCGCGCTTCTCGACCCATACGCTCCAAGCTGCACCCACGCGGTTGGCAAGAGGTGCCAAGAGCATATCCGACGTGCACTCGGAGAAACTCCCCCTTTTTTCTTTTTCTTTTTGAAGGTACAGACTTGGCATGGCGCAGTCGGACGTCCAGCTGAAGGGGATGGGGCTCTGTACTGAACATGCAGCTCGGTGTGTAGGATGTTGCGCGCAAGCAAGCAAGCAATCAAACCTGCCCACGCTTCTGTCCGGAAGAGCAAGTCAAAGCACGAACATGAATCACGAATCGTGAATGTGTCATTGCGTGTATCGCCCCGATTCACGATCATCGAACAATTTGATTTGTGATCCGAATTCCTGTACCGTACAGCTATATACCCTCGACTCGTGACTCGCGGTGTAGCTGCGAATGACTCCTTTCCGCTGCGACATCACTGCTACTCACTGACTATACGCCCAGGTGCGTGCGCTAGCGCAGGTAGGAGGCTGTGCTGCACGACAACGAAACGGTGAATGAATGGGGTCGTTCATGAGACGTCCACGTTGTCCCGACCATCGAATCCCTGCAACACGCTCGCCGTCTTCTATGCTGTTGAAATGAGACGCGAGTCGTGTGTGTGACCGTGGAACATCCAGAAAGGTCTACATTACATACACACCCTCCCTCGATGCCGACGAGGCGATGAGGAAGGTGCACGCATGTGCACTGCACGCTCGGACGCTTGCGCCCGCAGGAACACAACGACGACCAGCGGCGCTGATGTGTTGAGTTGATTGCAGATCATAAACGAGTGACCGACCGCTCAACGACGGTCCTTCATCGCACCAACTCAAATCCTCTGCCCGTTCAGCAGGGGTCATTGCGGGGCAAGAAATCGTCCACCGCCAGCCAGCCTAGCGCGGGGCCCCCGTGGGCAACGTTTTCTCTTGGCTGTTCTTGCACTGGGCACGTGCCGCAAAGCGATGCATGGCGTGTGCTGGCTGCGTAGCTAGGGAACGATGCATATGGAGTCGCACGTCAAGCCTTGGAGTCAAGAGTCTTCTGTAGCGCAAGTCGTGAGTGCCGGCATGATGCGCTCGCTTTTTGCTTGTGGCGGGCTTTTGCACCGCCGCACTCCGTTGCTGGTCGCGCAGATGCGCGCGGAGCAGGCGGCTCGATGATGCTGGCTGGGCACAGGACAGCACAATTCCAACATCAGCATCCGCCTCCACCTACAGTCGTGGAGTCACTGAGTCAACATAGCAAAGCACCTTGGCTGCCTTTTCAAACTTCCTCGGCGCGCAGTCATCGTCTTCTGACGCTCTTCGGCTGTGCTTGAGCGCGGAACTCATCCACGATTTGAAAATTGCCCTGCATCGATCATCTGGATGGATCAAGATGCTCACAAACACACAACCATATCGTTGCTCTTCAGGTCTGCAATCGAATCGCATTTCGCCTGTCACCGCTTGGTAGCAATCACGTGAATGTGATGAGATGCTTTCTCGTCTCGATCAGCATCCTTGACCATTACATAGCTCGCTTTGAAGGCGCAAGCGAAACGTCAATTGAATGCGGAGTCCCAAATGGGTAAAGAAGTGCGAGTGCGCGTTGCTGCCTACTCGCGCGAATATGCATGCATGCCTGCGTGCAATCATCATGCTGCGAGCTGCTGCTTGATTCGTGATTCGTGATTCGTGATTGTCGGCATCAGCGCTCGATGCAGCAAGTCGGGTCTTTTCAGCCGGACCCCTCAAGCTACGCAGGCGATGGGCATGGGCATGGGCATGGAGCTCGGAGAAATTGATTGCTCGCTCGCTTGAAGTCGAGGCAGGCAGCTGTAGCGTACCGGTACAAACAGTCAGCCCGGCCTTCGGGACCCTTTGCCTGCTGCCTGCCTGCTTGCGTACTGCTTGCTGCTCGCTCGATCGCGCGATCAACTCCGACAAGCCGCTGCCATGCTTGCAAGAGGTGCGTCCGCAGTGGCTCTTGCTCCCCCATCGTGCCGTGCGTGTGCAGTCACCGTGAAGGGCGCACAGGCACAGCCTTGCTTCCTCTCGTGCATCGGCAGAACAGGTCCCTCATCTGGTCCACATTTGATGAGCTGAAGCTGGGCACGGCTGGCCTGGCCACGCTCGATGCGGCCACGAGTGGAGAGGCAGCTGCATCGTCGAATCAATGCGAATGATCGGCAACACTCTTGACTGCAGCTGCGAAAACTGGGACCTCATGCGTGCATGCATGCACGATACCGCTACAGCTTGATGAGTATGGTGTCAGCGCGCAGTGCGCGATGCCGATCGAGAGCTGGCTGGCTTCTAAAGGCGTAAAACGCAGCAGACGATGATGGCGATCGATCGCGAGCTCCAGCTGTGCCTCAGCTGATAAATCGAGAAAGTCAATTCCAAGCCATTTGATTATTCTCCTCCTTCGCATTCAACCCCTGACACCACACACCTTCTCCCCCATCTCGCATTCGCACTGTCTCCTGTCTGTCTGCGATACCTGCTTCCTCCCGTCCTGTCAAATCTCTTCTCACACAATGAAGGCAGTAGGCATCGCCACCGCCGCAGCGGCATTCGCTGCTGGTGTCTCATCCACCGCAGCATACGTCGTGCCGGGTGGAAGCTTCGAGGGGCAACCCCTGTTTGGCAAGCTGCCCAACAAGTCTTCTCAGGCACACGTCATCCGCGATGCTCCGGGCGGGAGCGTCAAGCTGCCCCTGTACACGCACAACAAGCGTGACAGGAACAATGTGGAAGAGACGAAGAAGTTTGCCATTGCTCAGGGCGAGCTTGTTCGCAAGAAGTGGGCCAAGTACACTGCTGAGGAGCAAGAAGAACGCCAGAAGCTGGGCAAGAGACAGACCATTGGTTTGACCGGCTACAGCGCTGATGTGTGAGTGTCTGGCGCGTAAAGGTTGCCGCTTGGCCCACTGCTGCTCCTCACTCACGCCGTCCGGCTTGCACCCAACCCATGCCTATTCTAGCTCTTACTATGCTCAAGTTTCCATCGGAACGCCTCCACAAAACTTTGTGACGATTTTGGATACAGGCTCTGCTGACTTTTGGGTTGCAGACTCGGAGTGCACCAACGAGCAATGTCAAGGATCCGCGCTCTTCAATACCGCAGCCAGCAGCACTTATCGTAGCAGCGACACACCCTTTCAGATTCAGTACGGCATCGGCGCCGTGCGCGGCACGCTGGCTGCAGACACGGTCTCGCTGGCCGGCTACGTCGTTCAAGACCAAACATTTGCTATCATTGATCAGCTTGCTGAGGGTACCCTGAACGCTCCAGCTTCGGCTTTGATGGGCATGGGCTTCGAGACCTTGGCTTCGAGCGCAGCCACACCATTTTGGGAGGTTTTGGCACAATCCGGCAGGCTCAGTCAGCCTCTGTTCACTTTCCAGCTGCGTCGCAACAACAACAACCCGACCGTAATCAGTGGCACCACCCTTGCAAGCCAGTTGCAGCCTGGTGGCGTCTTTACATTGGGCGAGCTTGACAGCAACCAATACACTGGCGATATCACATACACTTCCCTCACCTCTCCAGCTTACTGGACCATCCCCATCGATTCGTTCAATGTGAACGGTCAGACGACCTCGGTCTCCAGCGGCTCAAACACCGCTGCCATCGACACCGGAACAACTCTGATTGCTGGACCCGTCTCCGCCATTCGTGCTCTTTACAACCAAATTCCCAACTCGCAGGCCGTGCAGATGGATGGTGGTGGCGACTCGTTGTACTGGGTGTACCCATGCAACACCGATGTCAGCGCTGCTCTGACCTTTGGCGGCAAAACGTGGAACATCAATCCGCTCGACTTCAACTATGGCCTGTACGGCAACCGTGAGTAGCAGGGGCTGTGAACGGCTGGGATTGCGTTCATTGACGCTTCGCTCCCTCTCCTCTGCGACACAGGTGGATCTACGCAGTACTGCCTGGGAGCCTTCTTTGCCACTGACCTCGGTGGACAAGGTCCTCAATGGATTGTCGGCGATGCATTCTTAAAGAACGTCTTTTCCGTCTTTGAGTCCAACCCAGCACGCGTCGGTTTTGCCGCGCTGCGAGGTGACAATGCCCAGGCCGTCGCCACGACATCCGGAGCGATCCGGTCCGCGGGCGCAGCAGTCACTACCGTTCCTCGAGCTTCGGCCACGTCGAGCGCAACGGGTGCGCCTGGAGGCGATTTGCCCACCCAGACCAACTCCATCACTGGCATCGTTGGCGGCTCCGGTTTGCCCACCCCCGTTGCCGGCTCCGCTTCCCCAACCGGCTCGGCCAGCTTGATTTCTGGCAGCAACGCGTCCAGCGGTGGAGGCAGCGGAAACGGTGCCGGCTCACGCACTGCCACCAGTGCGACCCTCGGTGCTCTGGTCATTGGCGCCGTGGCCGGTATCGCAATGGTCCTGGCTTAGTGTGGGCCTTTGACGCCATCCCTGCACGTCCGCCTGACCTTTTTGCGATCTCCTTGCACCCCACCTTTTGATTCTTTGTGATTGGAACATTAGCCATCTCTCCCTGGACTGTATGGATTTGCACATGTTCGAACTTCACGCCAGTCTTCACGTATAATGACGATGCAATGTACATTTTTTGATT